ATGACCTTTTGACCTCCTGAATTCTGCAATGAGATTTTCGGGTCGATTCAGCCGAGACGGCCCGAGTGGAGTTTCATGTAAATGTTTCGTACGGAAAAAAAAATCGCAACCAGTTAGCCGTCTTAAATTTTAAAGCCTACTCGGAGGAAGCTTAAAACGGTCTTAAATCATTTTCATCATGGCGTTCTGCTGATTAATTCAACAGTGAAATGGCAAGACCTTGGCCTAGATCTTCAAAGTCGGAGAATCGAACGACGAATATTCCGCACGCTTCTTAGCGTCTGTAAAAATAGGTCTACGTTTATTTACGTTCATTTTGATACATTTGCGTGCGTCGAGCACGCATGACGGCGCCCCTAATCTTACGTTACCAGGGAGTGCTTGTTTGCATTTCAATACTCAAAGCGGTCTTAGGGAAGACTGTTATATAGCAATGGTCTTAGAGGAATGACTTTAGTAAGACCGTCTAAGTGATAAAGCCGGCTTTATTCGAGGAGTCAAGACTACCAGTAAAGACCGTTTTATAGCAATTCGACCCTGAATCACCAAATTTCAAAAAGTCCACTTTTTAAAACCTATTATTTCACTAAAATCGTTCCTAATTATCGCAAAATGCTATCTGAGTATGCATTACATAATAATAATAATAATGTGCTACGAAATCTGTTGGAAATTATCAGCTCCAGTGATTGTAGGCCTACAGATGTAAAAGACATGAAAAATTATAATTTCACAGTGTTGGATTCAAGGAGGTAGAGCCCCCAAAATTTATAAAAGAAATGGAGAAAAAAGAAAAATCATAATTAAAGTTTGTCTGAGAGTGCCATTTCCGGCCACTTTGAGGTGCCATAATCCTAAATTTTCTTACCTCAGCCCCAACCATGGTGGGGCTGATGTGGTATTGACCATCTGTCTGTGCAAGTTTCTTCCTTCACCCCACCCTCTATTTCTCCTGCTTTACTCTAGGTCCCTAGACAATACTCAAATGAATGAAAATTTAAATAGGATATTACAAATTATGGATTTTAGAAATCCATTAAAAAGGCCCTCAAAATCCTAATTTGTCAGAGCTTCCAGAAGATTTGCGCCACCCTCGCGGGGGCAGTCGCCCATCTTAAGGTCCACTTCGGTTGCAAAACCCACCTCCCCATCGAAAATCCTGCCTACGGGCCTGATTATGAAGTCATTGCAAGATTGCGTCAACGTAACACTGGAGTAAAATTTTGGTATCACTAAATCAAAATACATGGACATGTCCGTGTCAAAGGCTGTAAAATTATTATTTAATAATTGCTATATAAAATTCAATTGACTAACTATATATTTTTTTTAAATTAGTAATCCTATGTATGTAGATAATATTAAACACATACGTACGGGTATACAAAAGGAATAAATCATTTACAGTAAAAATTGTGCACTTTTGAGTTTGTAAAATATATTGGCCTAATAAGCAACACGCTTCAAATTTTAACAACGTTCAGTACATTGTTTTCACAATAAATTTAGCGTCTGATAACCGCTGCACCCATAAAATCGATCTAGTGGTTTCTGAGATGGTTACGAAATGTACCGTATACACAATTGCATTTTTACTCGGCTTTGGTCCGCAAAATACGTACTGCACTTGGAAAACTGAACAGACAAAATTCATGAGTCATGCGTGATTGTTATTCTTTACATTCGCTTTTAAAAGTGGGGTTTTAATTATAAAAGATTGGTGAAAAGTGGGGGGGGGAACAGGGACGTATCCTTTTTACACAGAGTTAAAATTTTAAAGCTTATTCTTGAACTAATACAAATTCTTTCCTGGGATCACTCAAAATGAATACTTCTAAAACATGTAAATATGCATCAGTACACGTTATACATAGGCCTAATGGAACACATAGGCATAAGCGTGATTTAAAAAAATCTTAAATCCATAAATCTCAGGCCAGGGCTTTTAAGATAGAAATGCGATACTGTGGTTCAATTTCATTTTTATCCTTTTCCAAGTTTCTTTAAATTTTTGTTTAATAATACTACTACTAATAGTAATAATAATAACAATGATGATGATAACGATAGTAATAATTGATAATAATATTAATAGTAATAAAAAGTGAAGAAAGTTGTGCTAAATGCGAAAAAGTTGTGATTTGTTGATCATAATTTTAGTATATATAAAGCTTATTAAGCTATAGTTAGGCCTAAGTTGTCCTGATATTAAGTATATCCCTGATAAAAGATCATGAGAAATTTGTTAGCGTTTCATTTTGATTATAATAGTGATGTGATGATGATGAATTTTACTACATAAAAGTGTCATTTCCAGCCATCTCGAGAGGTATTATTTCCTCAAATTTTCTCACCTCAGCTCCAACCATGGTGGGGCTGAGGTGGGTGTCGACTCACAAAATGCCCTCCCCCTCCACCTTTAAAAACAGATCTGTGCCCTTCCCTATGTATGACAGTAAACTCCATCGAGTCGGCTCCTGATGTA